TGTAAATACACTAATGGCTTGAATCAATGCTGTAAACAGCACTGATTAAAAAAAAAAGAGAGAGAATACAGTCCCTCCTTCAGAGTAAATAATACTAGATTTCAGTCTATTTGAATGTTACTCAGTCTGCCAAAATACTATCACATCCACTCTGTTACGCGGCAATTAAAATCATTATTTCAATCTATAGTAAGTTTGTGACACAGTTTCATGTCATTTTTGTCAGCTATGGAACTTGCCAACCTCATCTTTTATATTTATATGTGTGTGTGACATCTTGCATTAGCTATTTGGCTTAAAAGCCCTTCCACATTTAATTTATTTTCATGCTATGGGAGCATGAAAATAGATTTCCCCTTCTGGCTGTCCACAAAATATTTTTTTTTTCTTTACCACTTCGTGATTGAAAGAAGGTTTTAACCTCATTATTACTTTTCAGTGTATTCTGTTCTTGCTAAAGAACCAGGATACAGGTGGAAACAGCAATTAAAAATGTAAAGCGGAACACTACATTGCATCTGCGTTTGTAATGAAAATGAACAGATTTAAGGGAGCACAGAATCTGGCTTCAGAAGTGGCACATTACTGACAACAGCCATCAGGGAGGTGAGGCCCTGACACACAAATCCTAGCCAGAGCTTGTGCTGGTTCCAAAGAAACATGAGAGCAAACCAACCAGCTCCAGCTACTTTGGCACTTACTGAAGGAGAACATTTGTCCTAGAGCTCTGTGAGACAAAGTGTCACCCAAAAGTACATTAGTCTGTGATTGCATAACACACCTATTTCCTGGCCATGTAATTCATAAATGAGGGGACCGCGAGGATTTCACAGTCTGCACAAACTGCTCAAGATTCATGGCCTGACCACCCATGCCTGCATGCAAACAGCTTCACTGTGTTGCTCTGGGAGCTGATGCTCAAGAGAGGCCAACATCAGTCAAAGTTATTTCACTTATAGGTACTTGAGCTACTACTGTCTTCAAATACTTGCAGATCTAAGCTTGAAAAGGTCCTTTTTTCCTCACACTGTAAAATACAAAACTAAGCAGCAGGCACTCCTGGAGATTACTTTCCTTACTGATCCACTGCACTTGTCAGCCTCTTTGAGATCCCTTCTCTCTTTTGACATGACATAATAAATATTTTGTCCTTGAAGTGAGGGTTAAGAGCTTGACTCTTCAAGTCCCCCTGAAATTTGATTTTATGAAAGCATTTAAATAAAAATTTGCACTTTCAGCTGTTTTATCACATCAGTAAGAGTTCCTGCCTGGGGCCAGTAATGGGGTGGCCAATAGGACTGATGTGAACTTGGCAGAAGTCCCAACAGTCCTGGAGTTTGGGTGGCATGGAGAGTTGCTGGATTGGGTTAAGGAGATGGAACAATTGCCTCCCTGCCCCCAGGTGCTGCAGCGTGGGAAAGCACAGAGTGCACATTCCTCAGTAGCACTCAGCACAGGAAGGCTCCTAGCTTCTCACTCAAACCTTTCACCAGCACTCAACAAGGTAAATAAACTGTATGGTCAGGGAGATTCAGACTGTTCCCCTGCATGAGCAAGGAGAAGAAGGGTTGACATATTTATTTACAACAGGAAGACACATTTACTTCTGCTCCCTTTGCCTTGGAGTAAGCACCTGCCACTTACAGAAACTGTTTTCCTTTGTTTTACCCTTGCATTTCAGCCAGTTAGCTGGCAGAAATGGCATAAAAATCCGAATGAAAATAAGTGATTTTATTTAACACCACAGCATTGCCCTAAGAAACAGTTTATGAAGGTACCTTGGGCACATTCATACCCATATGAACACGCACAAAGTTCCTCCCAGTCTGCGTGGCACAACACGCGCAGTTATGTCAGTATTCTTTGCAAGTGTAAGATTTTCAAGTGCTGATGCATAAAACTTGTTTGTCCAAACCTCTTGATTGAGCAAAGGGGCCATATTAAAAATTTCAGTCCCAAATGAGTCAAGAGTTTGCCTTCCCAAATGACTCAGATTCTTCTAAGCTAACACAAAGCACGTGTGGGAGCTGCATTCTGGGGAAACAAAAGAAAAAGACAAAACCAACACCCAAAACCTAGACATGAATATACTGATCTTCCAAGGCAGGAAAAGAAAATGCCCATACTTCTGTCAAGAGTGGTGCAACAGCCATCAGTATCTCATCATATAGCAGCTAGTCAGGCTAGAGTGCAACTGCTGTTGCTCCAGGAGGGCATATACATGATACTTCAGCTCACTGACAAAGCAGCAAACAAGCTCCAACACTCCAGAGGCTCTAACTGTTGTTAACTGCAAGCCAGTTTTACCAAAGAGAGAGGACTTCCACTGCTAACAGCATAACACAATCTCAAAATGGGATCGAGACATTCAAGGAGTAAAATAGAAGCCAAAAACTGAACTCCTAGTTGGAGTAGGATGGATAGAGCATGTAGGAATCAACATTAAGAAAACCACAGCCCTGTGCCTTTTTGTTTTTTTTTTTTTTTTTTTTTTTTTTTTTTGGTGACACATTCAACTCTGGTGTCTCGAACATGTCCCACATGGAATCTAAGCCACAAAAAACACCTTAGTGTTAGCGATGTGCGCTTTTACTAAACTAGCACGTGAAGTCTCAGCCAAAGGTAACTTCTCAGTCTTTAGCTTTCCTAAACAATTTCTGGAACGAAATGGATTTTACCTTGTTTCCTGGTTTATATAACTGTTTAGGATTTTATTTGCTCTTGGATTTAAAATCAAAGCAGATGTGTCTGTCCACCTTTCACATTCAGGGCTGAGAAGAAATACAATTTTCTCCTTCCGTTCCTCATTACGTGGGGGATAGCTAAGTGTAGTGACACAGAAGGACACTTTGCCTAGAGTTTTTAAAAAAGATCCCCAGCAATATCAAAAAGCAAAGTAAGAGACTTGATCTGTCTCCTTTCCATGGCTTCCACATGAACTTGGACAAGTCACATAATTCTTCTGTGGTTTCCAACCCTTGTAAAGTTTTCGAGGTAAGGACAAAGACAAGGCAGAATGTATTTGCCTTCCCTCCAGCAGTTGGATCTTGGAGCGGATCAGCCTCTCATGCATATTTTGTACTGACAAGCTCGCACTGCTGCCAGCAGAGCTGCTGCAGTTGTACCTGAGCTGCTTTTAAACTAGGCAGTCTGAATACCTGTAGTCACAGCAGGAAAGACTTCCAATTCACCAGAACCTAAGTTGGGCAATTTTTAACTACCTGAGGCATGTTCATTTGTGTTACTGTTACGTCATCAGCTGTAATGAAGGTATTTGCTTAGAAACAGCAAGAATATTTGCATTTTAATCTCTTGGAATTGTTTTCTTAATGCTTGGCTCAGTTCATGCACTCAAGGCAATTCATGTTCAATGCAAGGCATGTTCAAATACACGCATGCTAAGGATTAGCAGAAGACAAAAAGCAGAAGTCTAATTTTACTTCATTTTAATGCATTTTACTAGTCAAGTTCAATACAAATATCAAAGCGGACTCAAAGTAAGAGACCTACAAGTGAGGAACAAAAATGCACCCTCATGGGACTCAAGGTGGAAGGACAGAGATGAAGCGACATTTTAAGGACATGATCTATTTCTCAGAACATACTCATTATTCCTTTTTGTATGTAAAATGATTGACAAAGCTGAAATGGTTATGCTATGGTTCCTCTAATGCAACTGCTGACTCCTTGAAGAATTCCCTGGACAGTATTTTTAAGTTCAGATTTCACAGAGTTTATCCAAATCTTAATACTCCTCCTCCAATTCATGTGTAATGACATGGCAAGTTTCAGGAAAGTAAATAAACAAACAAACATAATTCACAAAGATCAGGAACAAAACACACTGGAGGAAAAAACCACATTACTATAGCTAAGATAATGGAAACCTCTCATACGCACTTCAGGTTTCTGACCAGCAGCACCAAAATGCTCAAATAAATCAAATTCCATGCTAAAAATGAGTTAAAGTGAATCATAAAATGAAATTTCACCATTTTCATTTACTTCACTCTTTTTGGCAATTCAGATTTAAACCCTTTCAAGACTTTCTTGGAGTTGGCAAATCAACACTGAATCATGAAATCTGGTGTTTTGTACAGCTTCTGAAATGGAATGATGAAAAAATAACTTTAAGTTTTATTTTTAGGAATAGGGTATTTTGGCCTTCCTGGTTGTACAACAAAACAAAGTGTTAGAAAGCTCCAAGCACAAGGCACTGTCATTGATGCCATAAGGAAATCCAATTCTCTATTTTATAACCAGTAATTATTTTGATGGTAATAAAACAGCTACTCTAAACTTACTAAGTCTCAGCTCAGGAACCTTGGGAAAAAACAGCTGCTTTCAGCTTTGCTTTTCTGAATTTTACCTCAACAGCCTGTACTTATTCAATGATGTTGGTACTTCAGGAGACAAAACAGGTAGATGTATCTTAGCAGGCACTGATTATGCGTTAACAGTCAAAAAAAAAAAAAAAAAGTAATATGAAGGTATCTTTTTTTTTATTTATTTTTTAAACTTTAGTGGTGATAATACACAGCAGTTTTACCATGCAGCAGATTGTTCAGAACAGCACTGGGGAGAAGCGTAATACCACCATTACTATCGGCACAAAGTGTAAAACCACTTTTGTTTTGTTTCCACTCAGAATACAGGAATTCACACTAACCCAAGAATCCCAATGAGGAAATCACAAAATTAATTTAAAAAAGAACAAAACAAACAAACAAACAAGAACAGTCTCTGTAGAAAGGCAAAGCCTATATTGGTCATATGCAAAGTTTTGCTAGGGTACACAAGTTCTAAATCCAGTACTTCTGCCAGAAATTAATTCCTTGATGAGGCACAACAGACCTCTACAGACTTACTGTCTCTCCTACCCTGACTGCTTACATCTAATCTTTTCATTCTAATTGCAAAAGGAAAAGAATTGATCTAATAAGGGGCATATTATTGTGACTTCTCATAGCACATCCCACAAGGCAACAAGCTGTACTTACCATGCATCTGGTAGGTGTATGGTGCTTGTCCAGCAGTTGGGGTACTGAAGCTGGATCCATAGCTAAGAAACCCACTCTGTCCTGGGGAATGGCTCAGGCTGTCCTCTGTTTTGATGCCTTTGGAACATATGGTAGAAACCAAGAGCAGAACATAAGTGTTTGTCACATAGAGGTATAAAAATGCAAGTTTAGGAATTCAGAATATTTCAGATTTTAAACCAATGAACTCTTTTGTTTTTTCTTATAATGTCTTTTTTTTTTTCTTTTAGAAAAAAAATCTAAATTACTCAAACAGCTCTCAATACAGCCAAGTAGACGTACGAGGAACGGCTGAGGGCACTGGGCCTGTTCAGCCTGGAGAAGAGGAGGCTGAGGGGAGACCTCATCGCAGTCTACAACTTTCTTGTAAGGGGGTGTCGAGAGGCAGCAGACCTTTTCTCCATTAACACCAGCGACAGGACCCGCGGGAACGGGGTTAAGCTGAGGCAGGGGAAGTTTAGGCTTGACATCAGGAGGGGGTTCTTCACAGAGAGAGTGGTTGCACACTGGAACAGGCTCCCCAGGGAAGTGGTCACTGCACCGAGCCTGCCTGAATTTAAGAAGAGATTGGACTGTGCACTTAGTCACATGGTCTGAACTTTTGGGTAGACCTGTGCGGTGTCAAGAGTTGGACTTGATGATCCTTAAGGGTCCCTTCCAACTCAGGATATTCTATGATTCTATGATTCTAAGTACATTCACCATGAATGGTTGAGTCATCTACATCCTGTATGCACACCTGAATGAACTTTTGCTAAGATAGAGAGGCAACTGTGAATAACATTGTTTTCAAAAACAATTTATGGACAGTTTTGTTTTAGAATCACTTAAATTCATTGACTCAAGAACTTTCTGAACAGTTATCAGATGCAAGCAACGATTAACAACAGGGCCTGCAGCAAACTAAGCTCAAGACTTCTGTTCTCAATAGAGGTATTATCTTCTACTTACATTACATTTTCAGCTTTGGTAGTATAATATTTATTATCAGGTCATACAGGAGGGGTTATCACCTATTCAGACGGGTATAACATACAATTCAGGAACAGAAGCCCTGAAGCCACAAAATCTTTTCATTACTAAAATTGGGCAATTAAACTGATAATTTACAGGGGGAGTGGCCCCAGCTGAATGAAGCACTGCAAGAGGAAACCTTTGCTTGTAGTGAAAGGGGCTGATTTTTTCTTCCGAGACGCTGCCATGACTTTACAGCTGTATTATTGAAATAAACAGCTGAAAGGTATGTCTTATTATGAACCCTTTGGGTGCGATCCTCCCCCTCCTTCGCATGTCTATTTACACAAAACCAAAAATGACCATTGGACACATCCTGAGTATGGGGGCTAAACAAAGACCCTGTTGATGTTGGTGTTCTGGCTTTGGATTTATATGCTTCCCAGGCTGCTGTCGTCTTTTAGCACTTGCGGGCAAACTTGCCAAAAGACAAGTCAAATCCATGTGCCTTTCATGAAGCATGCTGTTTTCTAGCTTAATGACTCTTAGAAGTAACAAGTCTGCATTTGCTCAGGTTGGGAATAATTTCTCCCAGCTTATGTCTTCTCTAGTAAAATCTCTTCTTTTAGCTTTAGGTAAGAATAACTGCAAAGCAATTTGAGTACTAGTTAGCAACAACATGACAATGCTGCATTGTGAAACACAGAAAATTTATTTGGATAGTGAGTGAACATATTTTGGTGCAAGCGTCTGGGTCCATTACTGCTGGGGGAGCAAAAGGATTTGTGAGTGTATGTAAAGAAGCCTCTTTTCATAACATCCCATGATTTTCAATTACATCAGCGCTCTGCATGCAAACACTCAACCTACCCTGGCTACAATTAATCTTCAGCAAATGGGCCTTTTTGGAAGTCTAAAAATTGTTGTCAGACAGTGAAATAACTTAGCACCAAATTAATTTCCACACAATGTTCTGTTTTGTCTAGAAACTGGCCGAGTTTTATTTTTTTTGTGCCTAAAAACAATACTGCTTCATTGTTCTTGGTTGTCAGCCAGGTGGAGTTTTTCATATGCTGTGTCAAGTATCTTAGAGAGGGTATATGGGTTGGGGGAGGGAAATCACTGCTCAAGGATGCTAAGAGGTCATCCGCAGGATTTATAAGCAGCATATGGGCCTGACACATGTATGCCCTAAAGACTCGAGGCAGTAGCAAATGGCTCTACTTTCACCTGCTCTAACAGGACAACTGTTCAGAGTTTTTCTTGGAAATCAGCCAGATGATGCAAACACACAAGTAGCTCCAGGGAAGGGTCTCAAAACATTCCTCATATCATCCTGGTAGAGCTTTCTCTCCTCCAAGCCCATTTCCCCGGCCTTCCAGACTGTTGCAATGAATTTCCCTTTGGTAAAAGCCTTATCAGTGGCTCTACAAAAGAGTAGAAAAGGAACTTATGAAGCCATTTTAATGCTTCAAGACTCAGCACTCATGGGATCAGCAGGGAATGAAAAGCCCAAAGCTTTCTGTTAAAGAACTTTGCCTAAGCAAGAGTAATATCTCTTTGGTCTTCAGGAGTGGAAAGAACTTCCCAATTGCCTCAAGAGCTTGGTATTTACATGCACAGCTTGAAGACACTCTTAACGTTTGGTTTGCCAGGCTTTCCACCATCAGGAGTGCTGGTTTAGTTAGTTCTCTGCCTGAACCCTCCAGCTGCTCCTGGCCTAGCATCATCTCCCCACAGCTGCTTGCAAGGCTGTGCAGGAACGCAGGGAACAAAGCTGACCAGGGTTAGAAATGCTCACGGCACTTATAGCTAATAACCATCCATTGAAACATAGACTGTCTTCCAAAACTGTAGTACTCCTTATCTTTTTACCCATGTCTTACTTTGCTCTGTGCCTTGGTTCTTCAGTAACAGTATACAGATTTTTTTCCTAACATAGCTTTTATCATTGAAACCCCAGGAAGAATCAAAGAAGGCAAAATGTATTTTACCTAAATATCTTACTTACTACAAGAGACTGTGTTAGCAGTGAGCCATGGGAACAGTCACAAACTACTACTATAAGTAGCACATACCACTGAACCTGTGTTTTTCACACTGTCTCCTACCTTATTAATGACCAGCTCCAACCTTACCTAGTTAGTATGACCATATCCCAGGATATCAAAGAGTAGATAGACAATTCAAAGTAATCCTACCATTTCTAACAAAGTCACATTTTCCTCCAAGCTTAAGAAGAGAACACTGACACGACAGAAATGACCTTCCATTCTAAATCTTCAAATATGTTTTTCTAAGAGCAAGAGGAAGATGTCCTCAAATGTAACATGGTATCTGAGTACTCACTGTAGGAGGGTATGCCGTAGGGCTGCCCAGGAGCAGGGTAGGCAGTGTATGCAGCAGCCTGTTGGATTCCCGCACTGTACTGAGTCTGTCCATATGTTGCCATTGTTGGGAACGATGAGACTGTCACTATATGGGGATAATGTCTATTGAGAACAAGAAAGCAGAAGGCATAAGGCAATAGTTATTATACATGATCTTCTAGAGTACATGTAAAACATTTCTAGACATTTTGATAAAATACTATCAATATACTTCAATGATGGTGAATATTTTGGAGTGTAGAGTTTACTAGGCTGGGGCAAAAGTTTGTTTCAGTATATGGTTCCTCATATAAACTATTAAGATAAAGCTGCATATATGCATTGGGTCTATTTCAACTCTGCAAAATACATGCAAATTAAAAAAAAAAAAAAACACAACACAACTCAGCACTCTGATTGCCATATTTCATGTTGAGTCTGCCAAACAACAAAGGGTCATGGCAAACCTCTGACATTTTAACATATTCCTCTATGGTCACCAACATACAAAGCAACATTCAAAGTGGTAAGGTTTGGATTCCCAGAGGTACGAATACACAGTACGTCAAACCTTCTTTCACTCCATATCTAACAAGATTAGGGGAACTGGTTACTTCACTGGGCCTGAGACATGCAGAGGAACAGGTAAATGGGCTTAAGACAAATGTATTTTAAGGTGACAGAAGTCTACAAAAAATGGTTATTCAGCAAAACATCATTTGTAAAATCACAGCACTTGGCAGAAACACTCACTTTGTGGAGTACAGATGGAGAGGACAATGTGGAGCTGCTTTGCTGTTGCCTGGAAAAAAAAAATTAAAGGGTCTTAGATTTTCATTATGTTCTGTTCTACAGCCAAGATGATACCATTGCTTTTACAACTGGTAGTTTGAGAAAAATATACAGTAATTAGGAGACTTTGTTTTGGAGTGAATTTCCAAAAAGCTGAAGCAGATAAACTTATTCTCCACTTAACAACAAATAAATATATCTTTATTTCTCACAGAGGGTGCTACTGATTGACTGAGTTACCATTTTCTTCTTCACATGGGACTGGTACCAACCATGAAGTTGGGCTTTGGTAGGATGAATCATGCTAAAGGCTATAAAAGCACCTGATATGGTCACTGAAGTGATTTAAGATCACTGCACTTTTTGCCCCTTTACTTTTTTTTAAAAATGCTCTCCTAGATCATGACTGACTTTCTTTAAAATGCTAGTTAAAACATATAAAATCAAAATAAATAGAAAAAATACAACACTGTAAATCTCCTCATTCTTGAATTTTTTGAGTTAACTATCTACCTAATTGACCTGCCAACAATCAAAATATTAAACCATTAGAAAATGTAGCATATGAGTTAAACGTGCAGGATGCTTTCCAATGTGTCAAACAGTTGTGTTCTGTAACACTAGCGAAGAAAAACATGCCGTCTTTATCTAGAGATAGATTTAAAAATAAATAAATAAAAATTAAACCTGAATGTAAGTCAAAACCCACAAGTCATAAGGAAAATACCATACTTAAACGCCACCATGAGTATTATTACGTAGGTTGGCTCCATAATGCCATTCAAATTCTGATTCTCCAGTCCTGGTTGATGTGAGATGTTATTAAAGCAGTATAAATGCCAACACACCTTCACAATCATCAATAATGACATTAGGCCAAACACATTCAACCTTTTTATCTGCTGGCTGTATCAATCAACACACCAAACTAATTGCAAAGAGTTTCTCCAGGAAGAATAACATCAACCGTTATGTTCTCTGCTGACTATAGCACCACCGCCCTCCACGTTAGGTGCTAGCATCTGTCATCTAATTTCTTACATGGGATAGGAAATTCTGCCCAAACTCAGGCAGAAAAGAAGATCTCTCCAATGCAGAAGCATGCGCTGGGTGAAAAGGGAGATTCCTGCAGTGTCCCCCCTGCCTGCACATTGCCACTGCCAGGCACAAAACATCTGCAGTGCTGTCCCATGCATCAAGGTGGATGTACCCACAGTGCGACAGAAGCATTATCCTCAGCACGGAGTTGTCCAAGACAGAATCACTTCATTTGTTCAGCAGTTTGTAAGTTGGTGAATTAAACATTTCAAGTATGTTTTATTTAATGAAATATACAAAAACACATAAGATCTAAATACATGCAAGTAGTCCTATGGGTTTAAGTAACTTGTTATGCCATAAACGTGCAGAGAATTTCCAAAAAGCTTTGACATGCTTGCATATGAAATATTTAATCTTCCTGGTTTAACTCTTTTTAATATTGTTATCTCCACACGCTTCTTTCACAATATTTTACATGGCTTTGTCAATCTACATTGTAACATGAAAATTACATCAAAATAGTTTTAAAAAGAGAAACATTTAATCTGACAAAAAAAAGAAAGTAAATTGAAGTAAAATGCATTTTTATCTTTGTTCACTTATGGAAGTGATCAAATAGAAAAACTCCAATGGAGGTACATGAGTTTTAACAAAATAATATGTATTACAAGATATTATTCTCTTTTTAGAATGTTAATTTGTGTAATGTTTCTATATGTAAAAATAAAACTAAAAAAGAGCTGCATTTTCTCAGAAAGAATTATATTTCAATAAAAGATGAAAATACCTAGAACACACACTTTCTCCAAGAAAGAGGCTGCCCTTTTTCCCACAAACTTAGAAATCATCAAAGATCACTTCATAAAAAATACACAAAATTAGAAAAAAAATATATCTGTGTACTCCTGTCTCTTTTCTCTATGATAACTGCAGTGTTTAATAACTACTCTTAGGTTAGAATAGATCAGAAATGTTAGTGCAGTGCTGAGTTATCCTAGGAAAAATGGCTCTGGTAACTGATGACCATGAGGAACAGGTTTCAGAGTGAGCTGGGCATGACTGCATTGACATTGCTGCCTACTATTATTACTAAGAGAAAAATCCAACTTGAGGACGCGTATCTGTGCTGCACACTGACCGCATCTGCCCACAGGTCCATGCACTGGACTCTAATTTCTTTCTTAGTGCCATGCTGGACACCTGCTTTGCCCTCTTCTTTCTGGATATTAAGAAGAAAAGGAACAAATTCATCCCAATGCAGCTGCTGCGGTAAAATCAACTTCTATGACCCACTCTTTGCTCTCCCTTCTCTGAATGCTTTTCTGTGCCTTTCCCCTCTTATTGTACCCTTCTGCACAACAAACTCAAGCCTGACTGTGCATCCTCTACATCCCTAATGTGCTATGGGCAGTAACAAACCAAACCATAAAGACTCTATGCTCCTGTATTCCAGAAGCACCTGAGAAAAGTAAAACCCACTGGTATCTGTGCCCTAGTTCTCTACATCTACAATGTGGCTAACAGTAATGTATTTCCCCAGCAAGAGGCGGAGAGGTTTTGTTTTTTAAAAAAATAAATAAAGCTGAATAAAACATAGTAAGGCAAAAGATAGTGTTATGTAAATGTACACAAAGATTTATACTACAGATATAGGAATACCAGGTATAGAAAAAGACTGCTTTTAAATTCAAAGCTGGGCTTACCTGACTCACCTTCATACTCACTGTGAAAAATCTGCTTTGACTTACCTGAAAGAAAACAGTTTTGAAAATTAGGATTTTAGATTGTGAAAACAAAATCTGTATGAATTTCTACCAATCAGTTGCTCTTTACCAAAAAAAAAAAAAAAAAAAAAAAAAAAAAAAAAAAAAAAAGTTATATAGAATACTTTTTACATTTGAAAAACAGCAGAACAGGAACTTTGAGCGTAAGCTTAATTTCTTTTCTATTTCAGAAATACAACATCTTCAGATTTTTTAATTTTGAAAGAGATAAATACAGAGTAAATACACGTGCCAAGAATGCCAAACAGGGATTTACTGTATGTGAATATTCAATATGCCACTGTCACTGTCGAAAAAGGCAGGTTAAAGCTATTTGTTTCTATCCAAATGTGTACATCTACAGGCAAAATGTGTATTTGAAAATTATACTGATACGATTGCACATCATGATAAGCACCCATGAAAACAGCAAGCTAGACATCTGAGTAGACATCTATGTAAATAAGTATTGCTATTAGACTTGCTGAAATTAAAACTATATGTGTAATACAGAGCATATACGTGTGTGCATTTATCACACTAACAGCTCTGGCAGTCTGAGATTTGACAAAAACACAGGTATCTTCCTGTTTTCCAAATTAACAATAAATATTTTCAATGAAAAGAACATAATCATGGTAGCACAGGGAATCATTCTGTAGAAAAAATACTGTATTATTTCTGTAAGAAACTTATCAACATGAGCTGTCACTCACAGATTGCTGATCTGTGGTACAAGTGTTCTGTTGGCTCTTACTTGTATTGCATAATAACAAATAGTTCCTGCACCAAGGAGTTTACAAAATGATGTATTTAAAAATCATTTCTAGCTCTAATCTTTTCTGCAAACACATACATTTAAAAGGATGTTTCCTTTAGATTCTTATCCCTTTGACTACTTTTGTAAATAGGCAGTCATGATGTTCATGCTTTAATCACACAATTTCTAATGCCTTAGCAAACATGCAAGCAAAACATCTCCTTGGCTTCTAAGAGCCTATAAATGAAGGGTTAAACCTACTACTAAAACATAATAGCCAGGGTCTTTTGCTAACTCTGCTCCAACAGGAAGGCTGACAGATCCTGACCGCAGCAAACAATAGCTGGAATTGTACTAGCAAGAACTAGTTCAGCTGCATCACTTGCCAATAATTTTTTTAGCAGATTTAACATTCTTCTGTTTCCTTCACTTGAACAGTATGATGGGGGGGAGGAGGAGGAGGAAGAGGAGGAGGAAGACAAGAGCAGATAGATTTTCATCAGAGCCTCAACCACTGAAAGAATTTGTCCTTGGTACCTGCCAAATGTGAAACTTCAGACCAGAGATCAGCAGGACAAACCATTTGGAGATGATAACAATGACCTCAGAGTGATGCAAACTGGGGCACAGGGCTGCTTTGGCAAAATGTTTTTTTGGCTGCACAGTTTGTTGTTGGGCCCAGGAGCCCCTGTGCTCCACACCCCACTGGCAGCAGCACAGCCACCAAAGCACAGGGCTAATGTTCAAGCCACCTCTGGGGCTGGGGCTCCAGTAGGGTCTAGACCAAAAGTACAAGCTCTACACAAAACACATTTTATACCTGCTATTATGCCAGTGAACAGATACATACACACGTGCATGTGTTTACACCTCCAATAAAAAGACCTCTATACATGTAATACATTGCAATTCTGACTGCATTCAAACCTTTTCTGAACTAAAGAATTCAGCCACAACTGGAGTAGCTACAAATGTTCTCAAATAAAAATCTCAATTGCTCGCTACACAGCAGAACTAATTATCAGAAGTGGAGGCCATGCACGTGGCCAGCTCTCCTTTTACATATACATACACGTTATGCTAAAGCTAACAAACAGTGAGCAAAAGAGGCAGCCTACCTTCTATGTCATCTGGAGCCACGGCATAAATGTTAGAAAGGTTAAGCTTCAATCTGTCAGGGCACTCTCTATTTACAGTCAGGCTGGGTGATATCACTAGATCTAGCATTTCCTTATACCTGAAGGAAAACAAAGGAAAAATATAATTTATTCATTAATTATGCATGCTTACTAATGATTCAATTTTTTTCCCTAAGAGTATAAATATTAAAGCTGATTACCTAAACCCAGGCTTCATATAAATTCCACATAATAACATTCACTAAAGTTTTCATCAAAGGGAAATGCTGAATTGCAATGAACTACTTCTTCCCTTGGAGATTACGCCCATCTGATTAATGCTTTCCCTTTCTTCCTGGATTTTGCCTTCCAAAAACTAAATTTCCATCTTTCCTTAATGCCAGCAGCACAAGGATGCACCCACCAGTGCTGAGGTTCCAGAACAGACTACTTAGGGCTGAAAATGAATCTGAGGGCAGTTAACAGCATTGTGTATTTTTACCGGATAGGAAGGTTGGTACCTGTGATAGGAGAGATTTAGGTGTCTGGGCTAATCCTGCTTTCTGCTGGATATACCCTGGAAGACTGATCCCAACTACAAAGTCTTGACCATTGGGTGGCAGTGATACCAGGACAGTCCCTTTCACGTTTTTAACGTTTTCACGTTAAAAACTCATCTGATTTAACTGAAAATTTCAAGTGAATAATCTATGTCATATAGCATTTGAGTTTCCAAAGAAAAACATAGTTATTTGTGGGCATGCATGGTTTACAAAATAATGAAAACCTACAAACTGTGCTTCACAAAGAGTTTAAGAAAAGAGACTGAATAAATCATTCTTTCAGACCCTACACATGTGAACACATCTATTCATCTAAATAGCACAGCTTTTGATACATGTGCCTAACTCCACCTGTGCAGCTTTTTGGAAGTGGGCTCCAAGGAAACCTGCTTAAAACAGAGCTACTTGCTTCCTTTGAAGTGCTGGATGTTTTTGATGGATACCAAAATACAGCAGTAAGATCTGCACATCTATGTTTGCACGACTGGGTAAAGTCATCTAGGAGAGTACAGCAAGGAAACTGTGTGTTATTTATCTGCATGATACACGATGGCGTTTACGTAAGGTCAGCCTCCTAGGCACCTTTACTCCCACAAGGTTCTGCCCCTGTTTACTGCACAGCCAGTGGCTGCGGCTGGAACTACAAAGCTGCCAGCCAAAGAAAATCTAAAGCTAAAGTTGCCAGTTCTCTTTCTTTCTCTCTTTCTTCCTTCTCTCTTTCTTTCCTTCTTTCTTCTCTAAAACGCACACGATGCCTAGAAGAGAGGGATCTGGGGGTCGTGGTAGACAGCAAGTTGAATATGAGCTGGCAGTGTGCCCTGGCAGCCAGGAGGGCCAACCGTGTCCTGGGGTGCATCAAGCACGGCATCGCTAGTAGGTCGAGGGAGGTGATTGTCCCGCTCTACTCTGCGCTGGTGCGGCCTCACCTCGAGTACTGTGTGCAGTTCTGGGCACCACAGTATAAAAAGGACATGAAACTGTTGGAGAGTGTCCAGAGGAGGGCTACGAAGATGGTGAAAGGCCTGGAGGGGAAGACGTACGAGGAACGGCTGAGGGCACTGGGCCTGTTCAGCCTGGAGAAGAGGAGGCTGAGGGGAGACCTCATCGCAGTCTACAACTTCCTCGTAAGGGGGTGTTGAGAGGCAGGAGACCTTTTCTCCATTAAAACCTGTCTGAATTTAAGAAGAGATTGGACTGTGCACTTAGTCACATGGTCTGAACTTTTGGGTAGACCTGTGCGGTGTCAAGAGTTGGACTTGATGATCCTTAAGGGTCCCTTCCAACTCAGGATATTCTATGATTCTATGATTCTATGAAATCTATCTGAAAAGGGCTCAAACTTCTTCCCACAGCCACACCGAGCAGGACCTCCAAAAACACAAATGTGCTCTTAGAACAGCAAGAGCAAATGGGAGAGAGGGGACATGGTGGTGAGCAGATCCTGGCAACCTGCATGGGCTCCCCTTTCTGGGCAGCACTGAACACACTGCCCGTACGGGCGGCTGGCACATCCCTGCTCTCAGCAGGACCTAACTGGGCTATGAAGACAGGAGATGGCACAGCAGCAGCAGGCCAGTAGCAGTGCACAGCACAGCACTTACTGCACAGCATGCCTAAATCATCATGAAATTGAAGACAACAGCATGGAAATCTGAACTCTTGACACCGGGCTTCTGCAGCACTAATCTAGGCAGTTCTGTAAGAAGCAAGGACATTTGTTTTGATTTTTTTTTTTTGTTGTTGTTGTTGTTTAAAAGCCAGTGTATGGCTTTACCAGTTTTGAGAATCAGAGAACATACTACAAACTACATACTTTTTATCTGAACTTCTCCAATCACTTTTATAAAGACTGCAAGTTCCTGAGAGGGAGGGTACATATTGTTATTAACAGGCACAGATCAGATTTTATCTGTAGCTAAACAGCAAAGACCAATGCTGATTTCATTTTCACTTCCCCTACCTACCAGCTAGGAAGACACTCTGCACCCATCCTCCGGGAATTTGCAGAACTGCCAAAAAGGGGAAAAAAGCGACATAACCATGTACAAGGTGCACAGCCCCAGTCCTCCTCCCTTCTCCAAACAGAATCTGGACTCGCCTTGTCTGCCTCCCTTACAAATTCACGTGGGCATGTGCATTTTTGCCCTCTGTGTAGTATCAAGTCCAGAGGTTGGCAAAGGCTGTCTGGTTACCTGCCACGAAGGAGACCTCAAGTCAGCAGTGAATGACCAACAGGGTAGAAATACAGTGCTCTGGATCCACTGCTTGTGTGATCCACATTCCCCAACTGCTGTGCCCAGTAGATTTGCTAAGAAAGACTAGGGTAGAACTAGGTACTGCTCCACAGCTGGCTCTTTGGTGCTAGAGCCCCTCAAAGTGCTCCACCTTCAGGCGTGTCCCTGCAAGAGCAAACACAAGTCCTGCCTTGGACACACACCAAGGTAGAGCAGGACAGAAATACAGACACAGGTGCACAGGGGACACCAACCGTGCCTGCAATCACTGCCCATGCTACCAAAGCATGAAAATGTGATGAGGCTTCAGATCTGTACAAGGATACCAAAACTGCTTCTTGCTTTACAAATCTCTCCCTAAGCAATAGAATTTTATAACAGCACTAAAATGGGAATCCAGGCCTCCTGACCTGAGCCTACACAAAGCACAGCCCACCAGCAATGTCACTAAGCCCTAGCAGCACCGTGGCAAGGTAAGCTCTGAAGCAGTACCTGCACGCAGTGGTTGCTCTGAAGCCCACGCAGCAGCTCCGCAGGCAGCCTCAGAAGAGGGGCGGCAGGGGATGCCCCGAGCAGCTGCAGGCTGGCAGGCAGCAAGGAGTGCCTGCGGCCCTTCTGCACACTTTGCCTGCGCCTGAGGAAAAGGAGATTTTCCTGAAACGGCTAATTTCACTTTTTTTTTTTTTTTTTGCCTGCACAGCCAGGCTGCAACAGTGGAAGGAGTCAGGAAGGATGTGGTGGGCCTTATTTCCCCTGGGGCAGGAACGAGGTCTCTCCTATGAGCGACTGTGGCTCCTAAGACTTCCCCTGAAAGCAGCAGGTGAACAGGGCCTCTTTTCCCTGAGGAATCACTTTATTCAAATCAATTGGCACCAAAATGAAATTTTGGTTGCACTGCTTGAAATGCAGGGTTCAGATTTATAACAGGTTTTCCTTTCTACTGTAAATGAGGTCTGATTTTTTCCTGATTTCCTTAACGCTATCGCCTGAATCTAGGAAAAGCACTGCTATCCCAGCTCCTGTCAGGCTGGGGATGTTGCACATTGTTCCTCAGGTACCACACGCCCTTCAGCACAATCCCAAACCCTATCACTCATGACACTGCCCAGACTGCTGCCAAGTGAACGGGAGCAGATGTTTAAAGGGAAATGATCTTTTATAATGATTAATGCACTTTAATTACATCATTGTTCAGAGATTTCATTAGCTAATCTCTTTATATTCAAAGTCACCCTTCCCTGTATTTGTTTTAAAACTTTTTTTTTTTTTTCTTCCCCAGACTCCATTTTTCTTTAGGGTGTGTTGTTGGTTGCAGGTACAAACAGGTAGCTTTCCAGAGAAAAGCCTGTCTGGCCATGCACGTCATGTATACTTTTGCATTGTTAGTGGCTTTGCTTGCTTTGCATGCCCCATTTACCGATTTGTTCATATGAATCTGATGCTCATGTACTTCTTCACAGAGTTTCTGAGTTTCTGAAATTCCAATTTTAGTTGTGGCAACCTACAGAAAATCTTCTGTAAAATAATGGGACGTGGACGGGACGTTAGCACAGTGAATGACATGCTGGAGTGCAACTGATGGAAATATCACGACTTCATTTGCTTGCTTTTTAGAGCAAAAACGTTTTCTGGCTTAAGTAATATATAGTAAATCAGTAGTAAATTTGCTGAATATGAGCTTTTATTAAAACCAGTGATGGCAGCATCTAGCATGCTGGGCTGACAGACATCTGGAAGAGCTTTTGGCTTATATAATTAAGAAGAACCTTGTGTGAATTTGGTGCTCAGCTTTTCCATTAGAATTCCCTACTAAAAAAAAAATGTATTTTGCCCTTAAAGTTGGCCCACAAAATCTCTGCCAAGAACAGAGCCTTTTCTTTTCAGGAATGTTTAGGAAGAAAAAAGAATAAAAGCCTACTGCAGTCGCTCTGAAGCTTGGTATGCCAAATTAAACATTTTAAAGTTTCAAATTTTTGTTCAAGGTGTTGGAGTAATCTACAAATCACATTTTCTTTTACAATGAAGTTCTGAAGGCAGTGAAGCCAGACCCCAGCTCAAAATACTCCAACATGAGCTGAGGATCAATATTTGGGGGAGTCCCACATCTCTCCAGCAAAGTACTCAAAGGAGGTGCAAGTGCAGCGCCGAAGCAGATCCCAGCACAGCCAGCCAGCAAGGTGCTCTGGGTGCTGGCTGCGATGAGAAGCAGATAGCAGCTTGATGGATGGCACCCTGAAAGGCTGAAACAGGAAACCACCGTGGTGTTGTGGGCACATGCAACCGCTCCACAGCTCTGCTCAGCACAGCTGAAAGGCCAGAAGG